TTTATGGTTCAAGAATGATCCTTGAAAATATGATTTTCTAAATAGGGAATGCGATTCCCAGTTGAAGGGAGAGAAAAATTTTGAAACTCGCCCCCTTATTCCGCAATCTTTGGGCGTCCATCTGATGGATCTCTCATCCCTTTAGGTAATTCAGCTCCACCTCCTCAGACACCATCAACACCCCGTACCTCAGCTTTTGCTCATTCAAGTAATCAGGCCTCAGCTCAYCATGCCTCAGTTACAGGTAATACAGAACATTCATGGATAATAGATTCTGGAGCATCTAATCATATGACTGGCTTGCCGTCACTATTTACTACTTATCACTTATCTTCAGGCAGAGACAAAGTGTCCATTGTTGATGGCTCCCTCACTCCTATTTCTGGCAAGGGAGACATCAAGTTGTCTAATGCTATTTCCTTATCTTCGGTTTTGCATGTTCCTAAGCTTAGTACTAATTTGCTTTCAGTTAGTAGCATTACAAAAAACCAAAATTGTCCAGTAACCTTTTTTCCGGATCGATGTGTTTTTCAGGACCTGGAGACAAGGAAGGTGATTGGGACTTGCGTGAGGCAAATGGAGTTTATCTGCTTGGAGGGAGTCCTCGTTGGGAAGATAGTAAGACTAAGAGGTCTTGTTTTTCTCAATCTGTTGATCAGGCTATGCTTTGGCATAATAAGATGGGTCATTTATCTTTTCGGGCTTTGAAGAGTTTGTTTCTGAGTTTATTTGAATCTATCTAGATGTCTAGTTTGAAATGTGAGAGTTGTGAACTTGCAAAACACTGTAGGACAACCTATTCATTAAGTAATAATATAAGTAATATTCCCTTTGAAATTGTGCATACTAATGTTTGGGGACCTTACCATACCATTGCCATGGGGGGGTACAGATATTTCCTACTGTTTGTTGATGATTATACTCGTTTTTCGTGGATTTATCTCATGCGTTCTCGAGATGAGGTTCCAGTATTAACCCGGATCTTTCATTAGATGATTTTAACCCAATTTAGGGTCAAAATCAAAATTTTTAGATCTGATAATGAGAGAATATTTYGCAAACCCATTAGCCTCCTATTTGCTTGAACATGGGATTATCCATCAAAGTACCTGCCCTCATACACCACAACAAAATGGGGTTGCTGAGAGAAAGAATAGACACATATTGGAGGTAGCTAGAAGCATTATATTTACTTCCAATGT